CAAAGTTTTTGACGTAAGCAATGGACAAGCTGGAATTGTCATTAACTATATGGGAGACAACTGTAGGAGGAACAGGCTTAAGGGAGAAGATGAGTTTGGTTTTGAATACATTAATTTGGATAAATGTTAGCTGTTTAAATGGAGATATTCTCCCTTTTATGTGTGATTTAATTTAGATGACACATTTTGAGTCTGGAAACAATGGGAATATTTTTGTGTGGTTAATTACTGCAAAGCAAATTGTAAGTTGAAATTTCAGGGATGGATTTTTTTGTTTGTTCTTTTTTGGGGGGGCGCTATTAAATGTACTATAATTGTTCCTACTAATCCATGGGCAATACATTCCAAGACTCCCAGTGAATGCCTGAAACTGTGGCTGGTATGTGTGTGTGGGTGTGTGTATATATGTAACTGTATATATATATATATATATATATACACATACTATGATTTTTCCTATACATACATACCTATGATAAAGTTTTAGAAATTAGTCACAATAAGAGATTAACATCAGCTAATAATAAAATAGAACAATTATAACATACTTGTATATTATAATAAAAGTTATGTGAATGTGTTCTCTTTTTCTCAAAATATCTTATTGTATTGTACGTGGGTAGCTGAAACTGAGAAGTGAAATTGCAGATTAAGTGAGGACTGCTATATGTAGAAGTATCCGAAATAGAGCAGGTGTCTTTCTTTCACCTTAATTTCTAACTAAAACTAGATATTGATTCTTATAGAAGTTACTTTTGGGATGGGCAGAGCTCAGGCAGTGATAGGCTGCCAGTTCCTAATAGGCTATGGACCAGTACCAGGCAGAGGCCAGGAGTTGGGAACTACAGGTCTAGTAGATGTTGTGGTATTACCATCCTAGAATCCTGGAATCAGAAGGGATCTGTTCCTGTCCCAGAGAAGGAAATTATTAAAATGTTGATTTGTGACTTGCCAGTGTCTGACAGATAATGTTGAATGGTAGTCACTGATTCAGTATCCTTTTTATTTGATTTGCTATGCTGCTTATTCCGGTTGTCATCCTTCTCCAACAGTTTGCTTTTTTTAAATCCAATTTTTGTCACTTTCCTTGCTATTCTTTGATGGTGATTTGCCATCCTGCTTCAGTATTCCTTAGGATATTCTTTTATTACTTGGGAATCCTTTGACTCTGTAGTCCTTTGAAGTTGGAGGGAGATCATCTTTTGACTCAGCAATTCTTTGAAGTTAGGGAATGTGTAAGTCCATTTTGTGTTGCTATAAAAGAATACCTGACACTGGATAATTTCTAAAGAAATGAGATTATTTAGCTCATGCATGGTTCTGTAGGCTGACAAGTTCAAGGGCATGGCCAGGCTTCTAGAGAGGGCTTTTATGCTGGGTCACAACATGGTGGAGAAGATCAAAGAGGAAGCAGACACTGGGAAGAGGGGAAGACCAGAGGGTGTTCTGGCTTTATAAAAACACACTCTTGTGGGAACTAATCCATTCTGGAGAAAACTCACTACTGTGAGAACAGCACTAAGCCATTCATGAGGGATGCATCCCTGAAGACCCAAACACCTCCTACAAGGCCCTATCTCCCAACACTGCCACATTGGGGATCAAATTTCAACATGAGGTTTGATGGGAACAGACAAACCATAGCAGGGTAACATAATTTCTCCATTTCTTTTTACTTGCATATTTTACTTTTTGTAGTATTTATTATACTTTCTCTTAGTACTGCAGTTTCCAGTCTAAAGACTTTTTAAATGAGTTGGTTTCTTATCAATTATGTGTTTTAAATTCTACATATTACATGTTGAGGATGAGTAATATTTTATTAAATATTGATATTTAACAGTGAGTGTTGGTGACTGGAGCTCAATTTGAATGTAAATTACCAGTGAAAGAGGTTTTGCAATTTCTATGAGTGAAAAGCAAACAGTTACCATCAGTTACCTAGTTATTAAAACAAAATTGAGAGCTGAAGCCCAATGTGATTAAGGATATAGTAATGTGGTTTTTTTTAGGCATTAAATTTACTAATAGTTTGGTAATTCATTGATGTATTTTGAGATTTCTCTCAGCCAAGATGAATGTTTTATGTAAGTTTTTTGTTTGTTTTTTGAGACAGTGTCTCTGTCGCCCGGCCTGGACTGCAGTGGTGCAGTTAACCTGCTGCAACCTCGAACTTCTGGGCTCAAGTGACCCTCCTACCTCAGCCTCCCCAGTAGCTAAGGACTACAGGCATGCGCCACCCTGCCCAGCTAATTTTTAAAATTTTTTGTTGAGAGGTGTCTCCCTGTGTTTCCCAGGCTGGTCCCAAACTCCTGGCCTCAAGTAATCCTCTCACCTTCACCTCTCAAAGTGCTGGAATTACAGGTGTGAGCCACCCTGCCCAGCTTATATAAATTTTTAATTTCTATGTTAGTCTGTTCTTTATGTTTAATTTGAATTTTATGGGTATGCACTCTTCTTCTACCCAAAAATACTATGAGGAAAGGGGTCTCTGGCTTCTTTTTGCCATTGCTAGCATAGCATCAAGTGTTGTTTTTCTCTACTATTGTCTATTTGTAAATCTTTTGTATGTACATTTTTTTTTTTTTGAGACAGTGTCTCACTCTGTTGCCTGGGCTAGAGTGCTATGATGTTAGCCTAATTCACAGCAACCTCAAACTCCTGGGCTCAAGCGATCCTTCTGCCTCAGCCTCCTGAGTAGCTGGGACTAAAGGCATGTGCCACCATGCCCGGCTAATTTTTTCTATATGTTTTTATTTGTCCAGCTAATTTCTTTCTATTTTTAGTAGAGACGGAGTCTCGCTCTTGCTCAGGCTGGTCTCAAACTCCTGACCTTGAGCGATCCTCCCGCCACCCCTCCCAGAGTGCTAGGATTACAGGCGTGAGCCACAGCGCCCGGCCTCTATATGTTTTTATTTGTCCAGCTAATTTCTTTCTATTTTTAGTAGAGACGGAGTCTCGCTCTTGCTCAGGCTGGTCTCAAACTCCTGACCTTGAGCGATCCTCCCGCCTCCAAGTGTGCTAGGATTACAGGTGTGGGACCGGCCTGTATGTACTTTTATTGTTAGGAATAAACTTAGTGATACCAGAAAATTCACTGATTTAAAAATTTAGTAAAACAGTATTTTTAGATATTGAATTTTTGTCCCAAATTTTTACTTCTGCTGTGATGCAACTTTATATATAACCGAGGTGTACTATAAGAAGGGGCATCCATAAAATGTAAAATTTATCTTTAAGGAATACAAGTATTATAAGTATGATTAATTATCCCCATTGGTAGGATTCATTCATTTATTTACCTTTGTATCAATGCTTAAAAGAAGATTCTATAAGGTCTACAAATAAAATTAAGATATAAGAATATCTCTTGGAAACAGTCTGGTAGGTGGGTGATGAGTCTTAGAGAGGGTCACAAGCAAAGTACTATGCAACTTCAATGGAAGACAGACAAAGGTGGTCTAAATGTCAGAGAAGCTTATAAAGAACTGATGAAATAAAAGCACATAAATGACAGCTTGAGGGTAATAAAATAGTTACGAATTTTTTTGACTAGGTCATGCATACAAAGGAAATATTTAAGGCAAATATCCAGAAAAAGGAAGGGCAAGTTTTTAGATCCTTCAAATTTGGCTACAATTTTATTTTCCAATACCACACTTTTCTCCCTGTTTTTCTCACCCATCTTTGTAGTCTTACTTCCTGCAGCCAGATTGTCTGCATCCCTACATGGTATGCCATCTTCTCTCAGGCTTTATTTTATTAGTACGTTTTTCATGGGTAGCTTTAACTGGGCTAATCTTTATTCGGCTCCTCCATTTTTGAACTCCTTTAGTTCATAAAATGTATCCTGTTTGTTTTATTAAAACAAAGGCTTCATTTATGTTAGTTCTGTAGATTGTCATCTCTTTAAGGGCAGAATCGCCCTGATATGTTTTAGTTATGAGGACAGTGACGGTGCTTGTCTTGTTCACTGTTGTACCTTTAGCATCTGCCACAGTACTGTGGTACATAGTAGTTGTTAAACATTTTTAACTGTTGTGAGAAATAAATGTATGTTACCTTGGCTTCCATAGAGTACGTAGGACATATATTTGTTGCCCTGAATACATTTTTGGTGGGTTAAACTAGTTGACTCATATCCACAAAATTTAGATTAAAAGCTTTTTTTTTCTGGTAAATACTATAGTTCTTCAGTTTATTTTGGAGTATGTAATCTATTGCTGGATCTCTCTCTTTCTGGTTTGTGGATTTTTTTTTTTTTTGAGAGACAGAGTGTCATTCTGTCACCCCCAGCTATAGAGCAGTGGCATCATCCTAGCTCACTACAACCTCAAACACCTGGGCTCAAACGATCCTTCTGCCTCAGCCTCCTGATTAGTGGGAGCTATGGATGCAGCACCACACCTGGCTAATTTTTTTTTATTTTTAGTAGAGATGGGATCTCACTCTTGCTTAGGCTGGTTTCAAATTCCTGACCCTGAGCTATCCTCCTGCTTCAGCCTTCCAGAGGATTATTTTTTTTTAGGTAACTTTATGCCTCAATATTCTCTGTGAAATGAGGATTACAGTTTTAATTGGGGCTTTTGGTACTTAAACTAATTTGATAATTATATTTGTAGATTGCCTGTTTTGTAGAGTGCTCATCTTAATTGATTTCATTTAATGTTCAATTATACAGTTCAGCGTTTGTATAATTTGTATTGCATAGCTATCTCATTTTTGTTTATTAACATTTTAACATAAAAATTTAAAAAAGAATGTAATTGATTAGTAGTAATATCAGTAGTAATATCAGTGGTAGAGAAAACGAAGAAAATCCTAAATGATTCATCTTAGAATTTAAGCAGTGTTTGCCTCTAGTTAATCCAGTGTGAAATACAACTGTATTTTTTTTTGAAGGTGCACCACAGCTAAATATCTTTATCATATCATTCCTTTCCTCTTCCTTCCCTTAAACTTGCTCCCTTCTGTGTCCCCTGTGTACCCATTCCCTACAGCGTTCCCTGCTGGCTGTGGTGGAGATTGATGTGCTGTGAATTGCATAATCACCCAAATGACTACCTGAGGAGTCTAAAAGAAACCCTGGCAACTGACTACTTGCTTTCACCAGGAATAGGGACCTTTTGTCTGAATTTCCTGCCCTCAGGTAATACTTCTATTCCCCATCCTTTTTTTTCTTTCTATAAATGCAAGCATTTTTATGCCCCTCATAAAGATACTTCAAGAATATTTTCTTATTGTTTTAGTCAGATACCTATTTCATTTTCTTTACTGTATAGCTACAGGTTCTTGTAATTCCTCTCTTGGAATGTTTTTTCCAACAGATAAGATTTGGCAACGTAAAGTTATAACCAGCTTTCTGATATTGCAAGAGAGTTTTTAAACTTATAGCCAGCTATTTGGAAACAGTAGTTAGCATTTGATCTTCTTATTAATAGGTAAGGTTTCATAGTCTTATGGAATTAGTGAGGTATTAAGGCTCTTTTGATAAAGAGTGTTTTGATTAATTCTCTCATCATTGAAGGACTTAAGAGTTTATTTTGTGTACTTAATGTTAATTATAATCTTTATCAAAGAGATTGAAATAAGTGTCACAAACAGCAGTACAAATGGGATTCATTTTTGAAGAATTTAAGGGGTTTAATCCATTCTGTTCTCTCCTTTCTTGTCCCTTTTAAAAATTCATTATCAGGGAAAGCAATTATTTTGTAAAACCAGACTCATGGAAATGGTGCTAAATTTCTTTCAACTTAGGACTCAGTGAAAAACCTGGAAACTCACATCACCAAACACTTCTAGTCCTTATGAAATTTATCCACATTAATTTGTTTTTTCCATTCTGTTGCCCAGGCTAGACTGCAGTAGTATCATCATAGCTCACTGCAACCTCAAACTCTTACGCTCAAGCGATCCTCCTGCCTAAGCCTCCTGAGTAGTTGAGACTATAGGAATATACCATCACCCCTGGCTAATTTTTCTATTTTTTGTAGAGACAAGTTCTCATTGTGTTGCTTAACCTGGTCTCAAACTCCTGGGTTCCAGTAATCTTCCTGCCTCAGCTTCCCAAAGTGCTGGGATTACAAATATGAGCCACCACCACCTATTCTAAATGTCTCATAAGAAATTGTTCATTAAAACATAACCATGAGTAGAATTGTGTAGTTTATTACATACTTACCCTAGGAGTAATGGGACAGTTGATAAACTTGTTGGCCATATGCTAGCTAGCAACTGTATAGGTATGATGACCTAAGTACTGTTTTGCATTCTTGTCTGTCTTGATTCCATGCTGCCATTTGGGAATCTGGATCTCAACCAGAATTGCCAAGGGAAAGATGCCAAGCTTTAAACTCAGGTAGAAACCTTTGAAATTCACTCTAGTATATAGATAGTTAAGGTCTTGTGTTGTTTATAATGGCTTTCAAGGATGGCTCTCATTTTGTATATACCTCTAGCAAATCCTCTGAGACACTTGCTCATGAAGTATGGTCACAACTATAGGCCTTTGCTTTTTCTAGATCACATCTCTACAGCTATCTATGTTTTTATTCAAGTCACCCACCAAGTTTAATTCCTTTTTCTTCTTTACCTTCCCATTTTAATCTGTCATGATTACTTTATATTTCAGTAACTCTTGAATTTACACTCTTTATCATGAACCTACGACATAACAGACTGCTTGGAACAAAGTAGATATCAGTAAGATTTAAATATCTCTGCTGTCACTACCCAGATTTAATTCATTATTTCATGCATCAGTTGTTACAACTAAGTATTTTCATATCCTTAAGGTTTCATACTTCTGTATTCCATCCTTGGCACTGTTACCAGAGAGATATTTCCAGAATGCTAATCATACAATTTGTTTTCTTGCTAAAAATCTTTTATTAGCTCCTATTTAAGCTTTTTTTTTTTTTTTAAAAAAATTTGTTCATAACAATAGAACTTTTTTGCCCAAGGAAATCTTAAAACAGAACTTCACTACATAAAATAGACAAAAGTAGAACTCTTCTAGTTGAATCAGTAATGGCAGTTGTTCCTCTGGCATATCTTTTTTCTTTTTATTTCTTTCCTTACCTGGGTTAAACCATGTGAAGTCTCTTTAGGGGCATTGTGGCAACAACCCTGATGTATAGGCTGAAACCCATATTGCTTGGCATGGAATATAGTGTCTTTTATGATCTGTCACCATGATCTGGTGACAGTTGGCTTTCCAAGGCATATCATTTCTTTCCAAACTACCTGATGCCTTATACTACATCTATGCCTACTTTTTATGTGACCCTGTAACCTTGAACATGTTGCTGCCTCTGTCTGAAATGTCTTCCTCTCTGCCTTGTTCACTTGGCACAAACCTACTCTAAAAAACATAGCTCAGGTGCTGCCTACTCTATGAAACCTTTCCAAAGCAGTCTTCTTTATTAACAGAATTGATCACCCTTTCCCTTGTGCCCCCCATTGTATCCTGTTATCATTTTTATTGCATCTATCACACAGTACTTGGCACATAGTCAGATCATGATGTACTACAATGATTTATGTGCTTGCCTCTAATAATAAAATGTAAGGTCACTATGTCTTATTTGTCTAAGTCTCCCAAGAGTCTCATGAGTGACTGGCAGATAGTAGGTACTCAGCTTTTGCTATGAAGGTTGTATGTCTAATGGTGTTGGAACTTCTATTTTAATAAAATGTAGATATCCAGACTTTAAGGTCTACCCATTTTAAATGCTAGCAACAAATTCAGGTTTTCAAAAACACTGTGTGGGCCAAACAAAACATGTCTGTGAGCAGAACATAGCTTACAAGGCTGCCAGTTTGCAGCCTCTTTCATTCCTTAAATGTTTATGTGGAAAAACTGGTTATACAAGATTGATTTTCTTTACACACTTATTGCAAAAATAACCAAGCAAAACAAACTCTATGTAAATTGAGAATGGTTTTAAAAAAGGCAGTTTAAGCCATTATGAACATACCTCGATTCTTCTTCCATTGTAGGTTTTATTTAAAAAAATAGTAATAATGTTGGGCTGGGCTCAGTGGCTCAAGCCTGTAATCCCAGCACTTTGGGAGCCGAGGCAGGGAGGATCACTTGAGGACATGAGCTCTAAACTAGCCTGGGCAACATTGTGAGACCCCATCTCTACAAAAAAATTTAAAAATTAGCCAGATGTGATGGTGTGTACCTGTAGTCTCACCTTCTCAGGAGGCTGAGGCAGGAGGATTGCTCAAGCCCAGGAGTTTATATTTCCAGCGAGCTGTGATAGCGCCACTGCACTCAAGCCTGGGTGACAGAGCAAGGCCTTGTCTCTAAAAATAATAATAATAATAAAAATGAAAATTAAAAAGTATGCCTTGAAAATATAATAAGCCTCACAAATTGACATTGAAAACTCCTTGAGGATGAAAATTGCCATATACTCCTACAATGCCTAATAAATGCTCAGTAAATATGGTTAAATTGAAATTTATCAGTATGATAATGGAATGATAATTGATCCTAAAATACCTGGGTAAAAATTGTATAAATTTGATTGCATTTTTAGCTCTGCTTTGGTGTAACCTTAAGCAGTTTACTTAACCTCTCTGGGCTTTACATTCTCTGCTATAAAATGAGGAGTTTAGATTAAATTATGTTATATTCTTTGTAGTATGGCTCTATTCATTTTTTTTTTTTTTTGCTTAGCTTAAAATTGCTCCTAATATATTCATGAGATGGCAAATGCAATGGGATGGTTTTCAAAAAGCCATAATTCAAATACTTTATATAATCTAATTCCCTTGTATTTTATTAACAAGTCCATTCTTTATTTTATTTTATTTTAATTTTTTGAGATGCTGTTTTACTATGTTACCCAGCTGGTCTTGAACTCCTGGCACAAGCGATCCTCCCACCTCAGCCTCCTGAGTATCTGGGATTATAGGTGTGCACAACCATGCCTGGCTAAGTCCATTTTTTAAAATTAAGATATGTGTATATACACATATATATATGTATGTATATATCTGATTTAAACATCTATATTGGAATATAACTTGATTTATATGCAATAAACTGTAGATATTTAAGGTGTACAATTCATGAAATTTCAACATGTATGTACTCAGGAAATCCTCACTGTAATTAGGAAAATGAACATATCCACCACCCTCAAGTTTCTTCATGTTCTTTTGTAATCTTCTCCTGTTGACTTATCTTGGGGCAACCGCTGGTTTACTTTATTTCACTTAGATTAGTTTGCATATTCTAGAATTTTATGTAAATGAATCCTATGATATACATTTCTGGCTTCTTTCATTCAGCATGATTGTTTTGCAATTAATCTATTTTGTCGTATGCATACCTTCTTACTGCTAAGTAGTAGTCAGTTGTGGATATGCCACTATTTGTTTATTCATGGTGGATATTTGAGTTGTTTCTGTTTGTTGACTATTACAAATAAAGCTACTATGAACGTTTTTGTGAGACTAGACTTTTTATCTCTTGTGAGTAAATTCCTACAAGTAGAATGGTTAGGTTATATACTCTGTACATGTGTCATGTTTTATGAAACTTCTAAACAGCTTTCCAAAGTGGTTCCAAATTGTGCATTTTACATTCTCATTCATAGCTAAGTAAATGAGAGTTCCAGTTGCTCCGTGTCTTCACCAATACTCAGTATGGTTAACCTTTTAATTTTGGCTTTTTTTGGTGGTTAAGTAGAGGTATCTTATTGTGGTTTTTAATTTGTGGTTTACTAATGACTAATGATGCCAGACATCTTTTCATGTGCTTATTTGCCATCTGTGTCTTCTTTGGTTTAAGGGTCTGTTTAAATCTTTTGCCTATTTTATTAATGGGATGTCTTATTTTCAAGATGTAAGAGATTCTCTTTATATTGTAGATACAAGTCCTTTGTTTTATTGAGACAGAGTCTTACCCTGTTGCCCGGGCTTGAGTACCATGGCGTCAGCCTAGCTTACAGCAACCTCAATCTCCTGGGCTTAAGTAATCCTACTGCCTCAGCCTCCTGAGTAGCTGGGACTACAGGTGCTCACCACACCCAGCTAATTTTTCTATTTTTAGTAGAGACAGGGTCTCGCTCTTGCTCAGGCTGGTCTCGAACTCCCAACTTCAAGCGATCTTCCTGCCTTAGTTCCCAGAGTGTTAGGATTACAGGTGTGAGCCACCACACCCAGCCTCAAATTATCATTTTTGCAGTGAATTGAATTCTTTCGAGTCTATTTCTGGACTATGCACTTTATTCCATTGATCATTTGCTTATTTAACCAACATCAGACTTTCTTGATTGTTACAGCTTTTTTTTTAAATTAATTTATTTTTCTCAGCATATTATGGGGGTACAAATATTAAGGTTACGTATATTGCCCTTGCTCCCCTTCCCTCCCTCGAGTCAGAGCTTCAAGCATTTCCATCCCCCAGTTGGTATGCATCACACTCATTTTGTATGTATATACCCATCTCCTCCCTCCCCCCACCTGCCTGACACCCGATAAATGTTATCCTATATGTCCACTTAGGTGTTGATCAGTTAATACCAATTTGCTGGTGAGTACATGTGGTGCTTATTGTTCCATTCTTGGGATACTTCACTTAATAGAATGGGTTCCAGCTCTAGCCAGGAAAATACAAGAGGTGCTACATCACCGTTGTTTCTTATAGCTGAATAGTACTCCATGGTATACATATACCACATTTTATTAATCCACTCATGTATTGATGGGCACTTGAGTTGTTTCCACATCTTTGCAATTGTGAATTGTGCTGCTATAAACATTTGAGTGCAGGTGTCTTTTTCATAAAGTGACTTTTGTTCTTTTGGGTAGATGCCCAGTAATGGGATTGCTGGATCAAATGGTAGATCCACTTGTATCTCTTTAAGGTATCTCCATATTGCTTTCCACAGAGGTTGCACTATTTTGCAGTCCCACCAGCAATGTAGGAGTGTTCCTGTCTCTCCACATCCATGACAACATTTATTGTTTTAGAACTTGTTAATAAAGGCCATTCTCACTGGAGATAAGTGATATCTCATTGTGGTTTTGATTTGCATTTCCCTGATGATTAGAGACCATTTTTTAATAGTCTTTTTGTTGTTGTTGTTGTTAAAAACCTTTATTTGGGTGTCCATGGGAAGGAACAGGAGACACAGAGTAATCGGTTTTAGAATTGGCTAGTTTAAGTAATTTTAGCAAGCTTTGAACACAGGAACTGTTCCTAGCTGTCTGGCATCTAGGCGTGGGATAATTAGGGCAAGTGGATAGTGATCCAGAGTGTGAGACTCCAATAAAGAAGGTGGTTGGGGTGTGTTCAAAAAGTACTCTCACAGGTGAGTTGTTGACCATCTCTAGGAATTGACTAACCCTAAGAGGGGCAATCCCTCCAGGGTCAGCAAGGACCCAGATGTCAAAGCATCAGAATAGAGAAAATAAACACAGTTAATACATGACTCCAGACACTTTTGCTTCCAGTAAGCAAACCTCAGCTGTGACTGTATGTACCTGTCTGTACAGATTTCAGGGTGGTGGTTTTCCCTGTGACCACAGTTCCCTCATGGGTCCAAATAAACTGATTAATTTCAGTTTGTTCCATTTTTTTCTTGTTATAAGGACGGGAGTGATGATTTCTAAGCTTGTTACATGTCAGAAGTAAAACCAGAAGTCTCCAATCCATTTTTAATTGTTCTGCCAATTTTAGTTCCATGCCAAGCCTAAAATATTTGCAGTAGCTTCCAGATTTTAACCACTTCGGTACGAGTGTCGGTCGTCTATAGTCAACAGCCACAGATGAATACGCACAGCCGAGCATCGACTATAGTTGATAGCCACGAGTGAATGCGCACGTCAGCTTTAGCTGACAGCCATGATGGAATTTTTCTAATTTTTCATTTATCAAAATAAAATTGTGAACATTTAAAAATAACGTAATGAAAACATATATGTATATGTTACCTATCCTGACTTACATTACAAGCTGCCTGTAAAGTAAAACAAGCTTTCAGTGCTTTAAAGCTTTCCTCATCACACAAGAGCAAAACGGATTCGTTGTCAATGCACAGCACAAACTATCGTGCAGACTATGAGTGCCGGCTGCGGGCAAGGTTTCATGGCCGTTGAGCGCTGCACCTAAGTGGTTTAAGGAATTACACAAGAAAATTTCTTCTAATGAAGATTTTGCGTAGCCTAGGAGTGGGAAGACAGGCAGCTTATTTATACAGTACCTGTTTGCTTTTATTTTGCTTTAAAATTTAAGATGAAACAATATAAAAATATTGCCTTGTGGTTGCTTTTCTTTTTTTAAGGAAAATGCCAGGAAATTATTTTCTTTTACAAATTAGTTATTCAAACATTATTTAGGGAAGCTAAAGAATAAATGACACAGAACTCTAGTAATTTCTTTCTGATGTTATGTGTTGACTAAAGCACTGGACTAGGCATTTTTAAGACTCAGGTTTGAGTACTGATGATTAATTACCAGCTGGATATCTTTGAAAGTAGTTCACACCCAGATTTCTCGGTATGTGAATTTGGCTAATAATACTTACCTATCTCATTTTCAGTGTATGACAGGGCATGTGTAAATTGAAATTTATATTATGAAACACTACAGAAATGTAGAAAAATAACTTCTATGCGTATCCTCCCAAGAATAGGCAATTAAAAGGGACTAAGGAAGCTTCCAATACTGGCTGTTAGAAATCACAGCCTCAGACCACACACCTGTTAAGAATGAGTAAATTGGCCAAATAGAACACCGATGGAAGAGAGACGTAGGTTTTGTATTCTTGGCTCCCTTACCCTTTGCTGGGCAACAGAACCTAACTGACTCTGTGATGAGAAAAGTAAGTGCTGTGTAAGGAAGTGAAGCATGAAAAATAAGGCTTGTCAAAATAAGCAACCAAGTGCGCAATTTCTCAGAAAAGTTAACTAAGTAGGGAGTTTAAATTGCCTCCATGGCAGAGTATGCCATTGTTGGTGGCTGGTAAAGTCAAGTGGGTATCCCAGCACATATTATCATGTCTGTTGGCCATACCAATAGAGGACTTATGTTCCTGGCTTGACAGTATGTCTTTTTCTTTAGCAGTAAATCCAACACAAACGACAAACTACAGACAGAAAATGCTCACAGACTGTGCTTTGGGTAATAACACTAGGCGGAGAACTTTATTGCCCAGTAAACATTTGTCCCAGGTATGTCATAAAGCAGATATGAAGGCAACAATTCTCCCAAAATTGTCTGTTTTCTACAATTGTGATCCTATTTTTCAACACTGAAAGTGATGAAGTTTTATATTATCCACTATTTGTTGGTATCTCTGGTCATAACAAACACGGGGTTATCTTGCTAAAGTCTGAATGATTTCACTTCTCCAGGATATTTAATGTTAGGAAAGACTTGATGAAGGGACCTAGCATTTCTTGAGCACCTCCTATGTAACTAGCTCTGTGGAAGCTGATGCATGTTAGAAGGAAGTAGATGGCAAGGTAAGCTAACTTGAATTTGGATCCTTGGTCACACAAGCTGTATGACTTTAGGCCATGTGTCCTCTCTTTCAGTATCTCTTTTTTATTTTCTCATTTGTAAATTGGGGATAATAATACAATCTGCCTTAAAGGATTTTGGAGACTTGGTATATGTAAAATCCTGGTGCAGAGATGTCAGCAATTATTTATTTGCAGTATATTAACTCAGACCATCTTTAAAAGAGCTCTGTCAATTAGGTATGTTCCACCCAGATTTTATAAAAATCAAAAATGAAACTGAGAAAAGTTAAGAAATGTGTTCAAGTGAAAAATATGGCAGGATTTGAGTAGGGTTTTTCTGGCATACCTATCTGGGCTCTTTTCATCCTACTATGGAATTGTAGAATAACATTATTAATATAAAACATGTATATATTATATGTTATATACTATACAACACATGTTAATATAAAACAAAGGTTATATGTATATTTAATCCAACACTTTTTATCTCAAAACAGTAGCTTCACTAAGGTTTTGACATTTAAGTGAACTGGTAATTTTTTTCTCATTTATGTTTCTACCTTTGTGAGAAGCAGTTCAACCACCACCAATTAGGTTTCTGTGTCAGACCTTATAGGGATCATTGTATTGTATGAACCAAAAGATGAACCTTTGAAACAAATTGCAAAGAGATGGCAAATTAATAAGGTATGCATCTACATGGCAAGTATTATTTGGATCAATTTTTGAGAAATCGATATAATATTTATAAAATTTTATCATTAATATTAAATTTATGATTGTTTTATTTCTTGCATGGCAAAATTGTAACCACTTCTGAATAGCAATCAATTTTCAAGTATAAGAAAAATGCAGATTAGATAAATTAATTTCACTAAAGCAATAACCTGCATACTGAATTTATAAAATAGAAAAAAAGGAAAGTATTTAAAAATATACTACTATATCTGGGTCTTTGAACTTTCTCAATTGTTAACAAAAACAGTATTACTTATTTTTCAAGACAATTTCAAAAAATTGAAAAAATTTTTTTCACTTTTGAAATTGACTGCAAATTGAGTATAAGCATATCAATTTTATTTAATTCCAATAATGTGCTTGAGAGAAAAAATGTAAATGAATAGCACATGGAACACTGCCATATTTTGATTATGTAAATTAAAAATTTTGATGTAGAGATATTAAGCAATTTTGTCACCTTCTATGTTTAACAGAGTAATGCTAATTTTCTTTACCTTGTTTTGACTAATTAATGCTATGTGTATGGAATTTTTTAAAGACTCTTGCTTAAACTTTAATGAAGCTAGTTAGTTCCCAGAAGAGAGTAATATGATATGAGTTGTTGGAAGGTAAGCAACATGACTAGTTATTTAAAAAAAAGGAAGCCATTTCTCATACATGGGCACTAAAGATAATGGAAAACCAACTTTTGAGGATGGGGTGGAAAGGCAAGTTAATGTGTGAAAAAGATTTTGAAGGTGGTAACTAAGATTTAAAAGCAGAATCATATATATTGTAAATTTGCCTACCTTGTCAAATGCAGTAAAAGGAGCAATAATAAATGTTATCTTTCTTTGCTTTCTTGAAAAAGTACAGTAAATTTCAATACTTCAAATTTTTTTTTTCAAAAAGGAAAGAATGGAACAGTTATCTCATATAGTGGTTATATTTGTTATAAGAAAAAAATTATGTAAATTAAATACACAAAATACAGGCATACTCAGCTATTTTGGGGGAAAACACCACACTGGAAATATAAACCAGAAGTTAAAATATAAAACTATAGGAAGCAGGAGGAAGTCAAAAAAATAATCCATCATGACCAAGTGGGTTTCATCCCAGAGATGCAGGGATGGTTCAACATATGCATATCTATAAATGTAATTCACCACATAAATAGAAGCAAAAACAAGACCATATGATCCTCAATAGACACAGAAAAAACATTCAACAAAATTCAGCACCCTTTTGTAATAAGAACACTTTAACAAAATAGGCATAGACAAGACCTACCTCAAAAGGATAAAAGCCATATATGATAAACCCACAACTAATATCATACTGAATGGGGAAAAATTGAAAGCATTCCAACTTTAAACTGGAACCAGGAGAGGTTGCCCTCCATAATCACTTCTATTCAACATAGTGCTGGAAGTCCTAGCCAGAGCAGTCAGACAAGAGAAGGAAATCAAGGGTATCCAAAATGGGGGCAGAGATTAAACTGTTGCTCTTTGCTGATGATATGATCTTATATCTAGAAAATTCCCAAGATTCTGCCAAGAGATCACTGGAATTGATAAATAAATTCACCAAAGTCTCTGGTTATAAAATCAATGTACCCAAATCAGAAGCATTCCTATACGCCAACAATGAAACTGAGAACCAAATCAAACACTCAATACCATTCTAAACGACAAAGAAAATAAAATACCTAGGAATATACTTAACTATGGAGGTGAAAGACCTCTATAGGGAGAACTATGAAATACTGAGGAAAGAAAGCACAGGATATAAACAGATGGAAAATCATACCATGCTCTTGGATCGGTAGAATCAACATTGTTAAAATGTCTGTACTACCCAAGTGATCTACAAATTCAATGCAATCCTTATGAAAACAGCAACATCACTTTTTGTAGATCTATGAAAAATAATTCTATACTTCATATGGAACCATAGAAGACCCTGTATAGCCAAAGCAACCTTAAGCAAAAATAGTAAATTCGGAGGCATCAATTTACCATACTTCAAGCTATGTTACAAGGCTGTAGAACCAAAATAGCATCATAGTAGCACAAGAACAGAGACATAGACCGATAGATGAGAACAGAGAACCCAGATATAAAATCATCCTCATATTGCCGTCTGATCTTTGAGAAAGCAGAGAAAAACATACACTGGGGAAAAGAATCACTATTCAATAAACGGTGCTGGGAAAATTGGATAGCCACATGTAGAAGACTGAAACAGGATCTGCACCTCTCACAAAAATCAACTCACTATGGATAAAAAAAGACTTAAACCTAAGGCATGAAATCATAAGAATTCTATTAATAGAAGAAAATGTTAGGAAAACTCTTATAGACATCAGCCTAGGCAAAGAATTTATGAAGAAGAGCACAAAGGCAACCACAGCAACAAGAAAAATTAATAAATAGGACCTGATCAAATTAAAAAGCTTCTATACAGCCAAAGAAACTATCACAAGAGCAAACAGACAACTTACAGAATGGGAGAAAGTATTTACATGATATATATCCGATAAAGTGCTGATAGCTAGAATCTACATAGAACTCAAGCAAATTGTCAAGAAAAAAAATCAAACAGCCCCGTTAAAAAGTGGGCCAAGAATATGAACAGAAACTTTTCAAAAGAAGATAGACTAATGGCCAAGAAACATATGAAAAATGCTCCACATCTCTGATCACCAGAGAAATGCAAATCAAACCCACAATGAGATATCACTTAACTCCCATGAGAATGGCTTTTATCAAAAAGTCCCAAAACAACAAATGCTGGTGTGGATGTGGAGAGAGAAAAACACTCATACACCACTGCTGGTGGTAGGACTTCAAACTACTACAACCTCTATGGAAAGTAGTATGGTGATACCTCAAAGAATTAGAAGTAGAACTACCGTTTGACCCAGCAATCCCACTACTAGGTGTCTACTCAAAGGAGAAAAGACATTCTGTAAAAAGACATCTGCACTCAAATGTTTATAGCAGCACGACGAACAATTGCAAAGATATGGAAACAACCCAAGTGTCCATCAATACATGAGTGGATTAATAAAATGTAGTATATGTATACCATGGAGTACTGCTCAGCCATAAAAAATGGTGAAATACCTATTGTATTATCCTGGATGGAGCTGGAGCCCATTCTTCGAAGTGAAGTATCACAAGAATGGAAAAACTATATCACATGTGCTCAGCATTAAATTGGTACTAATCAATCAACACTAAGGTGCACATATGGGAAGTAACATTCTTAGAGTATCAAGTAGGTAGGATGTGGGAGGAGGGGATGGCTAAATTCACACTTAACAAATGCAGTGCATACTCTCTGGGGAGTGGGCATGCTTGTAGCTTTGACTTGGATGGTGCAAAGGCAATTTATGTAACCAAAGCATTTGTAGCCCCTTAATACTTGGGAAAAAAAATTGAACAGCATAAAAGAAACTGACATTGTTAAATGTACACCCAGAGAAATTTTCTTTGCTAGATGTATTCCTTTTAATCCTAAGCAACCCTATAAGGTAAATATTACCTTTGATTTGTATAGGAAGAAGCTTATATTCACAGATTAATAAATCACCCAGGTTCACATGGGAAGTGAAAAACAAAACAAAACAAAAAGTACAACTTGTGGAACTCATATGAAACAAATCATGAGTACAGCATGAATACTGCTGGAAGAAATTGGAGGAGCATCAAATTTCTGTGAACTGATTCATGGTGGAGCTAGAAATTTACTGGTATGCTTCATTGATTATAAATACCTGTTTATTCATAGATGAATATTATTTGGTCTGATTTTTTCTGTACTGTCTCTTTCTCATCTGGTCTGATTTCCTCTTCCTCGCCTGGTCTCCCCTCGTCCAGTCTCCACTTCCTCATCCGGTCTCGTCTCCTTTTCCTCAATCGATCTTCTCTTCTCTTCTGGTCTGGTCTCATCTTCCTTGCCTGGTCTTGTATACTCATCTGGTCTGCTCTCCTCTTCCTCGTCCGGTCTTTTTGTCTCTTCCTTGTGCTGTCTGGTCTCCTCTTCCTCGTCCAGTTTGGTGTCCTCCATGTCCAGTCTTGTCTCCTCTTTTGGTCTGGGTCTTGTTTGGTCTCGTCTCCTCTTCTTTGTCTGGTTTGCTCTCCTTTTCTTCTTTTGGTCTCATCTGCTCTTCCTTGTCCTGTCTGGTCTCCTCTTCCTGGTCTGGTCTGGTCTTGTCTCCTCCTTTTTAACAAGTCTTGAAATTGGTAGTACAATGTCTCCAACTTTGTTCATCTTTTGCAAAGTTATTTTGGATAGTTTAGGTCTTCTGCATTTCCATATAAATTTTAGAATTAGCATGCCATTTCTACCAAAAAGCCTGGTAGGATTTTGCTTGGGGTTGCCTTCAGTCTATAAATCTATTTGGGGAGAATTGATGGCATCTTAACTGAGTTTTCTGATCCCATTAAATTTTTTTTTTTTTTTTTTTTTTTGAGACAGTCTCGCTTTGTTGCCTAGGCTAGAGTGAGTGCCATGGCGTCAGCCTAGCTCACAGCAACCTCAAACTCCTGGGCTCAAGCAATCCTCCTGCCTCAGCCTCCCCAAGTAGCTGGGACTACAGGCATGCGCCACCATGCCCGGCTAATTTTTTCTATATATATTAGTTGGCCAATTAATTTCTTTGTATTTATAATAGAGACGGGGTCTCGCTCTTGCTCAGGCTGGTTTTGAACTCCTGACCTCGAGCAATCCGCCCGCCTCAGCCTCCCAGAGAGCTAGGATTACAGGCGTGAGCCACCACGCCCGGCTGATCCCATTAAATTTTATTTCTCTGTTTATTTAGATCTTTAATCTCAGCAGAGTTTTGTAGTCTTTAGTATATAGGTCATGCACACCTTTTTACCAGGTTTATCCCTAAAATTTCATATTGCTGATGCTAATGTGAATGGTTCATCCATCCATCTGTTCATTCATTTATTTATAGAGACAGGATCTCACTCTGTCACCAAGGCTGGAGTTCAGTGGTCCCAATCATAGCTCACTGTAACTTCGAACTCCTCCTATCACAGCCTCCCAAAGTGCCAGGATTATGGATGTGAGCCACTGAGTGTCCCCCCTGAATTTTTTTTTTTAAGAAACGATGTCAGTTTGTAATTCCCCCCACCCCCAACCCCAGCGATTTTTGATTGCTAAACTAACCTTCATTCCTGGAATAAACATTTGGTTATGATGTTTTATACTTCCATTGTTTTAAACTGTGGTTCATAGCTTGGCTTGTGAAATTAGTTTAGAAAGTTATGATCACTATTCTGAAAGAATGAAGTGGAACATATCAGACTGTATTAAACTGTAGCTTTGTGAGATTTTTGTTTTGTGTATGTACAGGTACTAAATTGTAATGTAAAGTATATTTCTTGCCCTAGGTCATGTCAATATATCTTCTGTGTTCTATTTAAAACATTTTAATAGGTGAACAATATTAATATATTTTTATGATTAGCTTCATAGCTCAGGCATTTAAAAGTCCTATTTGGGTAAGAGTAAACTTTTGATACTGCTTCAGTTCAAACTATAGTAAATGCATTCGTAATTCAAATAGAGGAGAAGGAGAGAGAAAGAGAACTCTTAACTGGATATCTGCTTTAGTTCCAGATACTTTACATATTATATATTTTTAATCCTCACTACAATCTTTGGGGTTGGAAAGTCCTCATTTTTCAGATTGACAAATTGAGGGTGAGAGAGGTAGTACAGATAGTGGCTACACTGGAAATTGTGTCTGATTTAAAGGCCCATGCTCTTTGCAGATGTTCCTTCAGTATGAGCTAAACTGAAGATAGAATCAGATGTGAATTACATATATTTTAATCCTCCTTTCCATGTTCCACTTTTACTTTTGCCAGGCCTGTCTTTGGATTTTGTTAAACTTTTATAAAAATGATACATGTTCCTTATAGAACACTTAAACATTTGAAAAGTGTAAATATGAAGAAATCTAAAATTCCACCAACCATAGGTAGTCATTCTTGATATTTGGGATTTTGTAATGTATTTTTTATATAATTGAAATTATAGCATTTAATTTTGTCTCTTGAATTTTCATCTGAGGTAATATAAGTATTTCTTTACATGATTTGCAACATGCATTACTTGATATGTACATAGTACAATGTATCATAATTAAAGGGATTATCCCCCTTTGGACATTTAGATTGCTTTCACTTTTTTCCTTTTGAAAGTATCATTGAAATGAACATTCTTATACATACCCAGTCAAGGTGTTCCCCAATTTCTCCACTAACCATACTTCCCCTGACTCCCAACATAATTGACCCTGCCCAAGCCCAAGGATATCTAGTCAACATGTTGTGTTTGAGTTATTCAGATTAGTCTGTTTTCTGTCCTCTTCCATTTTGTCCTTCCTTCTTCTTGAGTGTGGTTATAGAATTTCTAAAATACAGTTAGGTTTATTTGTTTCAGTTTGCTTTCATTTTAGGTGTTTTTCCTCTTCTCATTCTTTATTTTTACATATATAGAGTATTAACATGCTTTCCAAAGTCAAAACTATTTAGAAAAGTATATTTCTTTTCATATCCTTTCCTTCCTATTTTGTCTCTCTCACCCCTTAATTAGGTAACCAACTTCATTGTCTTCTGGTTTATCTTTCTTTTCATTTTTGTAATGCTAAGTAGCTATATGCATGTTTTCTTTCTCCTTTTTCTTACACAAAAAGTATCTTACTATCTTCTTTTGATTGGTACAAAACAATGAAAATTAACCTCAGGTTTTATGAGAGGATATTTTGATGTTATAGATAAAGCTGCCTAGTAAGCCAAATAGAGCAGACACAGTAAGCACATTCAACTGCTAGAAAGCTCAAATGACCAGTGTATTTAATTTTTGCAGATACTTTCTTTTGCCTCCCATGTCCTTTTCCTTCTTTTTTCTTTCCTTCCTTCCTGCTTCCCTCCCCTCCCCTCCCCTCCCCTCCCCTCCCCTTCTCTCTCCTCCTCTCCCCTCTTCTCCCCTCTCTCCCTCCCTCCCTCCTTCCCTCCATCCTTCTATCCTTCCTTCCTTTTAAAGAAATGCACAAGTAAATATAATGATGTTGAGGATTAATTTTGAAGTTAAAATAAAATTTACTTAGTTTTTTAGAGATGGGATCTCACTCTGTCACTCAGGCTGGAGTGCAATGGTAGAGTCATAGTTAGCTGCATCCTTGAACTCCTGGGCTAAAGCAACACCTACTCCCCCCTCCCCCAGCCTCCCAAGTAGCCATGACTACAGGGGCGTGGACAAGTTTTATTTTATTTTATTTTTTTAGAGATGGGGCTCTCACTATGTTGCACAGCCTGGTCTTGAACTCCTGGGCTCAAGCAATTCCTCCGTCTCAGCTTCCCCAGTTGTTGGGATTACAGGCATGAGCCACCATGTATAGCTTTGAAATAAAATTTAAAAAAGCTTTTAGGATATTGCCATCTAGGCAGTAAATATTTATTTAACTTAATCTTCTATGGCTATATTTACAGATCATATTAAAGTTCCCAGTGATATATTTAAAAAATTAAAATGTTCCAAGTGCCTTCTGAGTAATAAAAGAATTATGAACAAAAAAAAAGAATTATGAACAGTTTTATATTCATTAACTTTTATTCTAGTTCTTTGAAAATTTATAGTCCAAATGCCTTTTAGCTAAAAAGATAGTCACTTAACCAGAATTCTCCTTCCCATATCTAAATACTACATGGTCATCTTCAAGGAGTTAGTTATAAAAACTTATTTTGGGGTATAAATTCTGAACTGGGTTTTAAAGGATAGAAGAGGTGTAGTAAGGTGAACAGCTTCAATAGAAACCATAGGAACTTGAAAAATGAGTGTAGCCTAATTGATGAGGGAGATGGTTAGAATTCAGTGTATCTAAATATGCCTGCAAACTCACATGCAGGACATTCCTCTAGTTCTAAGTGTGCCATGGGCCAATTGGTAATAAACTTTGTGACCTAAGTACATCATAAATTAAACAACTAGGTTTATAAATTGATAATCTGTGTCCTAGTACTATATAAGATATTATAGAACTAATGAGAGAAAGTAGTAAACTAATTTTTAATTTATTTCTTGGAATTGTTTATTGGTACTTGCTGAATTGAGTTTACTAAACACAACCAGGAGAGCTAATCTATAAGGATTGTATACTCAGCCTTTTGGGTCTTGGATTTGTGATTGGGGAGGTGGAGGTGGCTCATGCAGACAGTTTTCATTCTTTGCTTTAGCACTTAATTCAGCAGTCCCCAACCTTTTTGCCACTAAGGACTGCTTTCATGGAAGACAGTTTCTCCACCTCCAGCAGGGAGATGGTGGGGCTCAGATAGGGATGCCAGTGATGGGGAGCTAGGGAGTGGCTGTAAATTCACCTCCTGCTGTATGGCGACCCTGGTTCCTCCTAGTTTCATGGAAGATAATTTTTCCATAGATGGGGGTTGGGGAGGTGTAGGGGAAGGGGAAGTGGTGGCCGAGCTGTGTGGCCCAGTCCATAACAGTTCCTAGGGGTTGGGAACTGCAAACTTAATGAATTCTTAGCATGCACTTGATATTGTGTTATGTGCTAGAGGAGATACAAAGATAATCAAGGCATACTCCTGACCCCATAAAACTCCTACTTTTAAATGCTGTAGTATAGCATGTTCATATTACCTCCTTGGGAGATTATTTTGTATATTAGGTAAGGCCATGGGCTAAGGAATCAGACTGCTTATGATCATGTCCTGGCTC